GAGAAATCTTTCAAGGTTTGCAGCTCAACACTTTTCCCAGACAGTTAGTTTTCTTAGTACTCAGGATCCAAAGTTCTAGTTGTAATCTCTAAGTGTAAAGTTTCACAAATACTTAAACGGATTCATCACTGTAAGTCAATGGTAAACCAACAAAAAATAAATAAAATTCCTTTAAAACCTCATTCTCTGTACGTGTAAGAGAGAGGTGGTATAGCACATATACATGTAAGGTTGTGATTTACAAGGAAACAATTCTTGTGATAAAGGATGATATTTGAAGCTGACTTTTGAGAAAAAAGTTAGATTTCTAAAGAAACTTCAGATGACTGATTCTAAATAAATAGAATTTCTCTAAGCTTAACAGTTAATGTTATGTATGATGGACTAAAGTCTAACTTTAGCATATAATAATGTAAGTCAATTAGGTAAAGCATTATAATAACTGATCCTACAAAATACTACATTTTTGTAGAAGAAAGGTACACATATAAATTTTAAAAAGAGAATGAGGGCCAGGAGGACTGGTCCCATGGTTGGAAGCTTGTCACAGGGTGGGGGTGGCAGGGGTCATGGGGGGGAAGTTAGAACAGAAAATAAACCACTATGACAATGATAGTTGATCACTCTGGGCAAGAACTGAGTGCTGAAAGGAGGTAAAGGGATATATATGATAACCTGCAAATCATAATGCCCAAAAGGAGGGAGGGAGGAAGGGAGGGAGAGAGAGGGAGTGGGCAGAGGGAGGGAAAAGAGAGAGAGAGAAGATAAAGGTAGAGAGGGAGAGAAAGAAGAGAGGAAAGAGGAAGGGAGAGAGAGAAGGTAGAAGAGAGAGAAGAGAAGGAGAGAGAGAGAAGAGAGGAGAGAGGGAGGGGGAAAGAGAGAGAAATGCAAGCCATAGAGGTATGGAGGGGGAGAGAAATTGGGGATATTGGTGGTGGGAAATTTATACTGGCGAAGGGATAGGTGTTGGAACATTGTATGACTGTAACCCAACTGTGAACAACTAATGTAACTGTGTTTATCATGTTGATTCAATAAAAAAATTAAAATTAAAGAAAATTTTGAAAGACTCTTAGTATGGAAAAAACCTAAACTTCAGAACTGACAACTACTCTGGGGGGTAGGGATATGTAGCACCTGAGAAAGCTAAAAGCATTGGGTTAGCGGTAGAAGCAGGTCTACTGTGTGTGTGGGAGGGAGAGTTGGGGGTGATATAGTTATGTTGGCATGAATACTTGAGAGGGCAAGGATGCACAAAGCATAGAATATTGAATACAAAGAAGAAAATTATCTGTCTGTGAAGCCACACTGTTGAGTTATAAACCCCGAGAGTGCCAACTGTACCACAGGGGTGCTTTCTTTTAGCCAAACCACTGTAAAACAAGGCCCATCTTTAAAAAAAACCAAAAAATCAACAGTGGCATGACTGACCTCTGAGATCCTCTGTACTAGAACTGATGTTATGAAAGCATTCCAATTTGCTTACTGAAATCAAAACACACAAACCAACACTGTCCTCCCGTTGTTTATTGCATTGAGCGGGCCCATAAACGTCTCCATTTTTGAGACTTGTTGTTACTGTGTTTGGCATATTGAATACACGTCACAGATAGCTTGCCAGGCTTTACTGCGTGGGTGAGATACTCTCGGTAGCTTGCTGGGCTCTCTGAGAGGGGCGGAAAAATCGAACCCGGCTCGGCCGGGCTGGTTGCACGCCCTTCTGCTGTGCTATCACTCCAGCCCTTACTGAAATCAGTTTTTTAAAAATTAAATAGTTCTCTTAGGCATCTTTCACAGCACATGTTCTTTAAAAATGATTTTGCGTTATGATAAAAGCAGTTTGCATTAAAACCAAGATATTACCCACTCATGTATCTGTGTGATTTTCAGACATGATCTCTTCTATTAGTCCTGCCATAATATCACACTGAAAAAAAATTTCCTTCCAGGATCCTTATCATTATTGTAGAGTTTCTTGCCTTGTTTTTGAGATCACCTTATTATGCAACATCTGCTCTGAATTTCAAATGTGATAAACAGAGTATGAGTCTCAGTGGCAGATGGCTAATGACCAGTAGTGACAGGGCATTCAAGCCTGCCTTGTTTTCTGAGAAGTGATATTTTCATGTTAATTTGCTCTGTGTCCTGCAAAGACGAGACAAATCACCTGCCCATAATTCAGGCAAAGTGGAGACCACCAGGAGCCAAGAACGCCATGACTTGCTTCCTTTCTGAGGAAGAAGGGAGAAGGCTCTGGGTGACTTTCCTCATATTGACGTGCAGGGATCCGGCAGTCATTTGCAATACGTCAAACTGAGAAAAATGAATCAGCCCTGGATATCTAGCACTGACACCACAGCCACTATTTGCTGCGAGCAGATACTATTCGTGAAAATAGATATATCCCAGAAGCAGAAAACAGGTGCTATTAACAGTGTGTGTCAAACTCTCAAGTCTGGGTTTTGTAAAATAAACCTAATAATTTGTTTTATCTCCTACTGGAAATAATACAAAAAGAGAAATCTCTAAGAAACATTCAATTCAAGATAAAATGAAATCTAATTCACACAGAAAATGACCCATAGAGACACATAAAACTCAAGCTGTTTTTGGCCCTTTCAAGCTCTGCGAAATTCATGTTATCAAAGAGACACATAAATAACATACAATATTTATTCCAAGACTGAGTCACCCAAAGAGGCCATATATTTAGGTACAACTGTATTCAGATAAACTCTGAAAGAAACATTCTATACAATGACTGTAATTCTCTGTTACCAAAATATTGACCATCATAACAAATACTCTCTTGATCTAATTATCAATATTTCCCATAAGTAAACCTATACAAAAGAAGTTTCATTCTCTGGTTTTGTGCTCTGAAAGTCAATTAACTAGAACTCCAACTAGTTAAAATTTCTTATTAACTTCTTACTAAGTACTAAATTGCATACCATTCATATGAAGAAGTCATTCACAGAAACAAAGGGTTAACTAAAAATAAATACTTATATTTGTAAAGTCTTTTCCCTAAGACTATTCATTTCATTCTCTAACCTCTTTTTTGTACAGGGAGAGGGTGTGAGTGTGTGTGTGGGGCGGGGGGGGAGGTCGGCAGGGAGCTTTCAGGTGGTACCCAGGAGACCCAGGGGCCCTAACCGCAATTCTTGGGTAACTAGGCTTTAGGTTCAGTATAAGGACCCAACGGTGCGACGTGGTACTGGGGATCAGCCACGCCACCCTGGTGGTGCTCTGGACCTCTAGGGCTCTACCAAGGGATGCCTGGGGAACCATGTAAATTTGGGAATCAACGCCTATGCATTCTCCCAGCCCACAATAAACTACTCAAATCTGTGTGTACACTCCACCTAAAATCTTATCCAGTTGATAACTCATTTCTAAATAATGTTTAACCATGCCCCCTTCATATCATCTTTTATATGATATATATATATATATAGATCTGAAAGATCTACTTGGAAATTCAAATAAGCAGAATGAAAACAATGCTACCAAAACTCTTTAAGAACATTTTTCCATTAAGCTTAAAGGAAAAACGAACTTCTAGTCATACAGCATCTAGCTTGCTCACCTCTGACTAGTTTTAAGTCATCTGTGTATCAAAAATTGGGGATGGCAGCAGGATTTAAGCTTTGTACAAAAGTTTCATGAATTAAAAAAAAGGAGAGGGGCCAGAGTGCTAGTACAGTGGGGAGTGTTTCCTTTGCATGTGGCTGATCACGGGTTCAATTCTTGGCATCCAAAATGGTCCCCTGAGAACCACTAGAAGTGATTCCTGAGTGCAGTCAAGAGTAATCCCTGAGCATTGCTGGGTGCAACCCAAAAAACAAAAGTAAAATAAAAATAAATAAAATCTATTTCAAAAAAAAAAGGGAAAAGAAAAACTTAACAATCAGTATTTCAGCCTTACATAGTAAAGCTGTGCCCTAGAATCAGTGGCACTGTAGCACTGTCCTCCCATTGTTCATCGATTTGCTCGAGTGGGCACCAGTAACGTCTCCATTGTGAATCAGTAATAATTATAATATTCTATGATTATAAATGATATTTTACATAAAGTCCCCAAAAGATTTTACACCATCAGAAGATTGAACTATATTTACCATATTATAATATCTAAGGTCAGGATACGTAAATATGCAAACATATTGGGCTGGAGCGATAGCGCAGCAGTAGGGTGTTTGCCTTACAAGAGGTCAACATGGTCGACCCGAGTTCGATTCCTCCACCACTCTCGGAGAGCCTGGCAAGCTACTGAGAGTATCTCGCCCGCAGGGCAAAGCCTGGCAAGCTCCCCGTGACGTATTCGATATGCCAAACACAGTAACAACAAAGTCTCCAATGGAGACGTTACTGGGCCCGCTCGAGCAAATCAATGAGCAACGGGAGGACCGGGACCAGGACCGATATTGTTCAATAATTTTAATATGAACCACGGCAAAGCCTGGCAAGCTACCCATGACGTATTCAATATGCCAAACACAGTAACGCAAGTCTCACAATGGAGATGTTACTGGGCCTACTCGAGCAAATTGATGAACAAAGGGAGGACAGTGCTACAGTGCTTTAATATGCAGTAAAAATAAAAGATTTTTGTTTTTTCTTCTTTTTTTGAGGGGAATGAGGGGGCTTGTGGGCTACACGCAATATGCTCAGGTGGGGGCTATTCCTAGCTCTGTGCTTAAGAGTGACCCCGGGCTGGGCTTCGGTACCATATACAGTGGTGGAAACAAAACCAGGGCCAACTGCATTTAATGCAAAGGCCTAAACCCTTGTACTCTTTCTCAGTTTTATCAGAGTTCTAAAACCAATGAGCTAGATATATTCCATTTTCAAACATCTACATCTACTTGATTACATTAAATATACTTAACAATATTTATTAAGTTCTGAGAGCTCTAATTCTGGTTGATTTCCTAAGGAAATCAATTCATTTCTTAATAGACTTTAACAGTGAAAAGTGTCCGAGTAAACAGTACCTTTATGGTTTCAGTGGGCACTCCAGGATCTGGAACTTTATCCAAATACGTAGTCAAGTCTTGATCAACATGTTCAAACACTAATGTTAGTTTGGTTTCTCTATCTGTTCGTGACACTGTGCACACATCAAACAGCCTAAAAGAAAGAAAAGAAACTAAGTTGGTGGCAATAAGCAGTCACTTATACACCTTACAGATATCCCTCAATTAAAGTAATAAAGAGTGGTAGTAATCATGATAATGGCCAGAGCTGATCATTTCCTGCAATAACATCTAAGAATACCTAGTAGGATCTGATACTTCATTTCAGTAGGAAAGTTCTGGAGAGAAGCACTCAGCACCGAAAGTTCCCAAACTTACTGGGCCTACTGCATCCTTTTCATTCTTCGTGCTCCCCTCCTCCCAAGTTTCCCTTCTTTAAACAAACAAAAAGTGACCCTCAGTTTCACCGCCTTGGATGGTTCCAGTGATATTCCCTATCTCAACCCCTTTGGTATCATCTACTTCAGAAATCACTGGCTTGGAGCATTTGGTTAAATGGTGACAAAGAATTTTACAGGAGCAGAGAAAGCAGCATAACTCCAGCATGTGAATGTCTGCTCGAGAGTTTCCTTTGTTAATCTCTTAGGTATAACTTGCTGGTACAGATAGTTTTAAAAACCACAACCTAGGAAAAGTATGTTTCTTCTCAGCGAATAGTAAGGATTATTAAAGACAAAGATTAAGCATTTTGCAGCGGTGGTCTCTGAAATAAAGATATTCCTGGTATTTAAGGTGCTATAATCATGCTTGTAAAAGTAAGTATGATGGAACACGGAGAAATTTAGTTTAGTTCTAAAAGTCTTCTTGGTGACTAAAACCATCTCCTTGGAACCAGCAAAAACAATCTTAGCCTCAAAATTCCAAGTACCTTGCTAATAAAAACTCCGGAATCTCATCCCGTGCACATATGTGTGCATGCACGTGTGTGTGTCTGTATGTGCGTATGTCTGTGTGTATGTGTGTGTGGTGTGAGACTGCATCAATAAACCTGAACACTCTTTTAAGTGATGCAAATTAACAAACTTTGTAATTAAATTCAGATGGCAATTTCCTCCTTAAAATGCAACAATTAACTACAACTCTAAGTTTCAAAAGCAAGGTCCTTAGTCAAAAGAACTTTCAAGTCAGTGGACTTTCCCCCCCACTTTCATTTCAACCATACGGAACACCTATGTGATATATAAAATACTGACTGTAACACTGTTAGAATGAAATGAATTTCCCCAAGAATTTCTCAGTAAATTTCTTGACAGAGTGTAATACTAAGAAAGGTTAATAAATGCTACTCACACTATTGTCTGTTATTTTTTAAAACATCTTCAAAAAAAGCTTTCTATACTCATTCAAGCCAGTAACTAAAATGCAGAGTAGACTCAATTGTCTACTTTGTCTTTTACTAGTGTAAACTTTTTCCTGCCTAGATGGTTCATCATGACACCCTACTACATCTCTGGGCTATATGTGCCCCTCAACACTTGGTATTTCCCTTTAAACTTTAAAGAAACCGAAGGCACTATAATTAAGTCAAAACTGGGGGTGGGAGGAAACAACATATACTTCACAGCCAGATCCAAACTGCTTTTTAATTACGGGCAGTTTGGGCTAAGTTCTAAAACTGCATTAAAATAAATTAAGATCAAGTGAATTTCCCTCTCACACTTAGCTATTTACAGATATTTTTATTTTATTTTATTTTTGGTGGGATGAAGGATTGTTTTACCCCTGTAGTATTCGGGGGTGGCTCTTGGTGCTCAGGGCACCTTATGGTACTGGGCTCCAACCGGGGTCACCCACTTCCAGAGAGCAAGTACTCATGTCAAACCTCTGATTTCTCTAGCCCATAAGCTACCGAGAGTATTCGATATGCCAAACACAGTAACAACAAAGTCTCCAATGGAGATGTTACTGGGCCCGCTCGAGCAAATCGACGATCAACGGGAGGGCCTTTACCTTTTATAATTGCCAAGTTTAAATCATCTATTTCTAAACTTAATTCCTGCCCCCCTTCCACCTCCCCCCAAATTTTGAAGTCCTCTGAAGTCACTAAGAGCACCTCTAGAAAAATTATACTTGGTATGGGTGGTGGTGGCCACAGATGCCAGGCCTCACAGGACAGGGGAGGAATGGGCCCTTCTCCTTCTCCCCACCCCATGGGACTCTGAAATGATGCTACATCCATCCACCGTTTACTTAAGCTCCCACACGGCCATGATCCAGAGACATATAAACGAATCTTGGACCCGAGCAACTTGCCATAGCCACCTCTTCAGATCCTTATTATTACAAGTTTAGAATTCCTAGAGCATGCGGACACAGCTCTCGACGGCGTGCGACATTATATTGATACATATAACAAGCAACTCAAAACACATTGTCTAGCACTGTCTTTTCAGCAGGTATGAGTGGTGGTGGGACTGGTCTCAAAATATCAAAGGTTACTAAAGTAGAGAAAGAGAGTGTTGTGCAAATTGTATGCCACACAGGCAGGGGGACGTGTGGTATGGGGAGGCAATATTGGGCATTTTGATGGTGGAAAAGGTGCACTGGTGAAGGGATGGGTATTTGATGACTATCTGATCGAAGCTCAAACATGAAAGCTTTGTTACTGTACCTCATGGAGAATCAATAAAAAAAAAGTACTGCAGCACTGTAGCAATGTCCTCCTGTTGTTCATAGATTTGCTTGAGCGGGCACCAGTAACGTCTTCATTGTTAGATTTATTGTTACTGTTTTTGGCATAATGAATATGTCACGGGGAGTTTGCCAAGGCTTTGCCGTGCGGACAGAATAGTCTTGGTAGCTTGCCAGGCTCTCTGAGAGGGACAGAGGAATTGAACCCAGGTCAGCCGCGTGCAAGGCAAACGCCCTACCTGCTATGCTATCACTCCGGTCCAAAAAAAAGAAAAAAAAGAAAAATTATCCTAAGGGATAAGAAGCCAATACATTTGTTAATGATAAGTGATACATACCAGAGAAAAAGTGATTGCTATCACACATGAATTTGATGCCTGTAAAAGTTTACTAAAACTTTTCCAGACTGATAATGGAGGGTGACTCTCATTTCTTCACTCTATTTTGAGGCCGGGAAGGTGTGCTACGACATGACCCAGTCCTGCTGAGGGGGCTTCTAGAAGAGATCTGTGATGTAGTGGCTAGTCTGGAGAGTGCCTAGGCTTAGCTGCTCCCTAGATAACTGCACAGTATGGCCAAATCCCAGCATGGAAGGAGCAGGGCTGTGAGTGCTGCAGAGTCGGGGTGGACAGAGAGGGCCTGTGACTGTCATCACAACAGGCCAAGAGGAGGCACAAGGGGTCTGGCTGAAAGAGACTGGGTCCCTAGTCCCTAGTCCCTAGTGCACAGAGACACCTCTAGGGCAAGAAAACTCCTGAAAGAAGGTTTGGCCCAAAGTCTCCAAAAATTTTTCAGACATGCATATGAGAGTTCCAGAGACTTTTAAAGACAACTTTCTTTTGAACAATTCAACTTTTCCCTTTCTTTTGAAGAAGGAAAAGGAATTCCACAATGACCAAGCTTCTTTATACCTGATATTTGTTTCCATAATGAAATAAAATGACCATGAACCCAGAGTGACAGGTACAAACATTAAATGCAAATATGGAAACTGCACTGTTAAGAATTGTTTCTCAAGTGTTCATCTAAAAAAAATAATTCCATATAATCAATGAATCCTCTTAACAGAAAACAGGGTTGATCATCACCTCAGATCAACAACAACTGTAATGACTCCAGTTCTTCTTGCACTCGCAGTGTGTAAAATGTAACACATTTTAGTAATTTCCAAAAGAAAAAAAAGATAATGCGGCAGAGCTGCAATTGGAGAATGAAGAGAACCAAAAACTCTGCTGACCCTGCAGGTCACCTGCTCCCAGACGGTTGCTTGTTACCTAACAGCGTGAGCCAAGTCGGCTACGTTGCTTCATCGCGCTAAAACCGTTTTACTCTTTGTATGACTCAATTCAAGGAGAGCACACCCGAGTTATGTTCTTCCAACATATATCCAACTCCTCAAAATATTACGGCTCACTGATGCCACCTGGGACTGGTCTCCACCCACCAGACAGGCAAAGGGAAAAAAAGGCACGGAAGTCATAGTCAATTATCTGGTAAATTTTTCCTGTGAAAAAACAGGGAGAAAAGACACTCATTCTTTTTTTTTGTCATACCCAGCGATGCACAGGGGTTACTCCTGGCTCTGCACTCAAGAATTACTCCTGGCGGTGCTCGGGAGACCGTAGGTGATGCTGGGAATTGAACCCGGGTTAGCTGCATGCAAGGCAAACACCCTATCTGCTGTACTATCACTCCAGCCCCGACACTCATTTTTAACTGGTGGAAACTGAAAAAAAGTGTGACTGTGTGGAGTAGAACTTGTATAAATGTTAACGTAAAGGTAAAGGTAAGTAAGGTAAAGGCCCTCCCGTTGATTGTCGATTTGCTCGAGCAGGCCCAGTAACGTCTCCATTGGAGACTTTGTTGTTACTGTGTCTGGCATATCGAATACATCACGGGGAGCTTGCCAGGCTCTGCCGTGCAGGCGAGATACTCTCGGTAGCTTGCTGGGCTCTCCGAGAGGGGCGGAGGAATCGAACTCGGGTCGGCCATGTTGGCCACTTGTAAGGCGAACACCCTACCGCTGTGCTATCGCTCCAGCCATAGCTCCATATATATGTTAACATACATAAATATATATCCCTCGAGACCCCTCTCCCCACTACCAATAGCTTTGGCTGCAGCACCAACTACCAACATCCTATAGACTGAGTATACCACTTAAAAACTTTTTTGAAAGTATGGCTTTATATTAAAGTATGGAATTTGTAGTAGGGGTGGTTTGGGCAACACCCTGTAGTGCTTAGGGGCACTTCCTGACTATGCTCAAGAGTGACCCCTGGTGGTAACTAGGGAACCATCTGTGGTGCTGGGGATCCAAATAGGGAATGGTCACATGCAAGGCACCGTACCTCTTATTACTTTCTCTCCAGATCCCAAATATATATTATATGTTATATATAAATATAATTCCCCCTGACTTATTGTTTCATAAATTTTATCACAGCAAAAATTAAGTTATAT